CGCCCTCCCCGCTCGACGGCGGCGGCGCCGCCGCTGGACAACGAAGACCTCCTCTCCGAGATCCTCCTCCGCCTCCCCCCTCAGCCCTCCTCCCTCCCGCGCGCCTCGCTCGTCTGCAAGCGTTGGCGCTGCCTCGTCTCTGACCCCCGATTCCTCCGCCGCTTCCGCCGCCATCACCGCCGCAACCCTCCCCTCCTCGGCTTCTTCTTTGAGGAAGTGACGCCTGCCTGCGGGATCTCCTTCGTGCCAACTCTGGAGCCCCCCAACCGTTTTCCCGTCGGGCGCTTCTCTTTGCAGTTCGACGACGGCAGCAGCTTCAGGCTCCTCAAGTGCCGCCATGGCCTCGTGCTCATCTTGCTCGGGAAGCACAACCAGGCCCTGGTGTGGGACCCTCTCAATGGCGACCAGCACCGCGTCTCCACCACTTCCAGGTCGTCTTGATACTGATAGGCACGCACAAAGAACAGCATAAGCCAGGGATCGCCTGCGTTTACTCCTCGGAGACCAAGGAATGGGGTAATCTTGTCTCAACACCGCTCCCACCTGAGAATTCTATCTACAGCTTTCGCACCATTGTTTACAGGGGCATGGCTTGCGTCCTGGTTGGGAATTCGCTTTACTGGCTGCTTTCTGAGAGATCAGCTCGCATCCTTGAGTTTGATTTGTATAGGCAGAGTCTAGCTGTGATACATGGGCCAGTGGATATCTGTGACACTGGCAATTGCCATTTCTCAGTTATGAGAGCCGATGACGGAGATGTCTCGTCCGTGGGAGTAATAGCAGGGGAGTTCGAAAGAGGGGGCAGAGGCAGCTATTTAAGTTGCTCCTCGCGCCCTTCGCTTTCGAGGTGGGACTAAACTCACGCTGCAACGCGTTCCTCAGTGCACGCGGCCGCCGCAGGGCTCGTGAGGCCGTTTTTTGCGCTGTGACCGGGCGGCCCAGTTCGGCCCATAGAGGCAGGGCACCACTTGCCCCCTCCCATGGCTATACCTGGACGCGAGCCGAGCCGAGCCGAGCTCGGGCCGAGCCAGCCATTAGCTCGCCCAGCACGAGCCGAGCCAGCCCGAGCTAACTGCTCAGGCGAGCCTAAGTAGCAGGCTCGACCCGAGCTGTGTGCTGGCTCGGTCCAACTCGGCAGCTTGTGTGCACTGCACATCAGCGTGCAGACTACTCCCTCTCTTCCTAATATAGTAGTATTTATATGTGCTAAGTGCTAACTTTGACAGCAAATACACCCAAGTGCTAACTTTGGACAGCATCAACACTGAAAGCCTGAAACTTTGACAGCATGTACACCCAAGTTTGGACAGCATTAACACTGAATGTCTGAAACTATTGACAGAAAAATACACACAGGTTTGGACAGCAAGTACACTGAAATTTGGACATCAAATGCACCCAAGTTTGGACAACACTGAAGAAATTGAGATGAACATAAACCATTCATGAGTTTAGCAAAATAAGATGACATATGTCACATCCATAGTTCAAAGTTCAATGACAACATAAACTTAATAGTCCAAGGTTGAGAAGTTGACATATGTCACATCTAAAGTTCAGGCAACATAAGCCATGCAAGAACTCCATCATTCAAGGGTGACGACCAATATAGATCCATTGCTTGATTTACTTCCATGTGCAAATTTGACAAATGCATCTTGATGGTCTTCTCCCTACAATGTATCCTACATGTAACAATGGTTATTGTAAATAAGAAAAGCCTACAAGTAGCAAAAGTAAACTAAAAAAATCTTACAAGTAACATACTTACTAGTAGTTGCAATCTGCCACACTTTTAGGCAATTTGACCTTCTCCACATCCTCCTCTTCATCATCTTCTTCCACATCCTAGTTTTGTGCAAGTTAGCCATTAGATTTTTAGTTTATGGCAATAACATGATGCATATTGAAATCATACGACATAAAACATAGATCGAAATCATACCAACACATTTAAGTCTTTGTGAGCACCCTTGATATAGCTTCCGCCACACACCAATGCCTCCACCATGTATGGTTTTAGAGAGCTTCGATAATCATCCAGAATTCTTCCACCGGTGCTAAAAGTGGATTCAGAAGACACCGAGCTAGCAGGGATAGTTAAGAATCTTCTTGCCATGTTTGCCAAAACAGGATACCTAAGTGCATTCACCTTCCACCACTCTAGCAGATTGAAAGTGGCAACCATACCCTCATTTGCATCATCCATATAGTTTCTCAATTCACTCTTAGATCGTTTTGTAGAAGTGGATGATAAGAATGAGAGAAACTCAGAATCTGTAGGTGGCATTGAGGTACTTGTATTGCAAGTATTCTTGCATTGAGGTTCAGCTTGCCTCTTTTGAGAATCAAATTTCTCATACAACTTGTCCAAATCTTTCTTGAATGCAGACAACTCAGTTTCAGCCTTATCCTCATCATAGATCTGCCCAAAGCACCAATCCACGTACTTCATTTTGTACCTTGGATCCAGGAAAGTGGCAAGAACCATGACATTGTTTGGTTCTTCCCAATATTTGTTGAACTTGTCCATCATAGCATGTCCCATAGCATTGTAGGTTTTGTCCTTATGAACCATGGCTTTTCTCAAAGCAATTTTGATACTCACAATGTGGGGGTAAAATATGTTGGCGGTGGGATAGGATTGACCTGAAAAGGCTGTAGTCACTCTAGCAAAAGCAAACAACAATGGTTCAATAAGCTGAAACATATCCCATTCTTTGTTTGTAGGCTTCCACTTGTAGTTGGCATCCGAATCAGCATAAGACACCAAGGCTTGCCTATATGGTCGGCCAGTTTCCAACATCTTGTATGTAGAACTCCACCTCGTGCAAACATCTAGGGTCAAATGCGCTCCAATTTTAAGGCCTAAACTCCTGCAAATCTCAACAAATTTGTGCAGCCGGGAAGGGGACTTCTTGAAGTACTTCACTGTCTCCCTTAGGTTCGTTACCAAAGTGCTCATGCAGGCTGTCCCATCCTGCACTACCAAGTTGACAATGTGAGCACAACACCGGACATGGAAATATTTGGCTTCAAAGTCTGTCCCTCTTCGAACAGAAAACATTGCCTTCAAATCTCTAACAGCTGAATCATTGTTTGATGCATTGTCTAGTGTGATGGACACTATCTTGTTTTCTATCTTCCATTCAGTCACAAATTCAAACAACGCAACAGCCATGACGTTTCCACTGTGAGGGGGTCCAACTCCATGAATGCAAGCACACGAGTCTGCATCCTCCAATGTTTATCTATATAGTGTGCCACTACACACATATAAGAAATGGTTTGGTTACTTGTCCACATATCTGTAGTGAGACTAATGTGGTCCACATTCTGCAGGGCTGCCGTAAGGATTTCCTTCTCTTTATTGAAAACCCTCAAACACTCAGCTCTTATTGCCTTCCTACCAATTTTTGATATAGCGGGTTCGAGTACTTCATCACAATATTGAACCACTCATGTTCCACCATCCTGAATGAGTAGTTATGGACAGCCACCATTTTTGCAATCAACTCCTTCATAGTTGTGTGCTCATACCCATTGGATGGCACACCTAGAGGAAGACCGGATTCACCTCTAACATTGGACGGCTTGTACCCAAGCCGTGATTGTATAAGTTTCCTCGCAACCTTGTTCTTGAAGATCTTACACTTCTTCATATGCCTATTAAGTGTTGTGGTGCTTGAACCTTGAACATATATGTATAAATTGTGGCAATGCATGCACTTTGCCTTCAACTCTTCAACCTTAGGATCCTTTTCTGATTTCACCTTCACCTTCTCAAAAAAAGTCCAACAATCTGAACTCTCCCTGCTAGTACTGGACTTGCTACTGCCCTTGGTAGTGACCTTGCGCTTGACTTTCACCCCTTTCTTGCGTTTCTCTCCTGTTCTTGCATTGTCTTCTTCTGAACTAACAACAAACACATCAGTCTCACCTCCAGGGGACTGAACAATATCCATTTCATCCTCTGACATGTCATCTCTAAGATCATACGAGTTCTCTTCTTCCTCAGACTCGGACTCATCAGCAGGCACATACACATTCTCATCCTTCTCTTCCTCATCCTGCTCCTGGACACGATCCTCTTCCGGCTCATGTTCCTGTTCAAACAATGATATTTTGAAGGAAAATCCACTAAATATTTGTACGGCAAGTATACTGAGATTAGGACAGCAAGAATGAAGTTAAACATATGCATCCATCTATAGTTTCTACAACAAAACAATTGAGCCCTCAATAAACAAGGGCATTACATGGGCATAAATACTCACTTTTTAGACATTATATACACTCAAATGCACCCAATGTTGTACAACATATACATTCAAACGCGCCCAATGAACAGCCAAATAATAACTTGATTCCTCCTACACAAAGCTAGCTAGGCTAGTAGACTGAATAATAACTTGCTACATCAGAAATAGACAATCATGTTACAGACTGTAAAATATTATGCAATTGCTACAAAATATCTGCAGGCACAAAACTGGAGGACTCTGGTTGCGTTAGACTTAGTCATATGAAAATCTTCAGGAAACAATCAATTACTTAAGCACAACTGATTATAATGGACAATAGCAGATGGGCATAAATCAAGTGGAAACAATAGGAAATTCACTACTTCTTTTGTTGTTCTCTGGCTTATCCCTATGCATCACACAACAAGCTCACAAGCTTTATTTATATCCAGAGGAAAGAAGAGCAGGCCACTGCTTTGTGCTTACCCAGGACTCAGCTTCAGCCGGAGAAGTAGGCGTGACGGAGGTGTTCGCGGAGCCGGTCCAGCCGGATGCAACAGCAGCTGCCGCCCGCGCGCCGATACCTTTGTTGTCAGGTAGACGCCGAGGCGGAGGCGGGGGTGGCACTGCTCGCGCCTGCTGCTTTGCCCTCACAAGCGGGTCAACAAGGATGATGCTTGGATTGGCCTTGGAACAAACGGACGACTCGATGCCGGCGTCCATGGAGCTGGAGGTCTTGCTTCTGCCCTTCTTCTTTTTTCCAATCGCTGGCTCCTTCCCAAGAATGGAGGTCAATGACCTCTCTTTCTCCTTCTCCATGGCTCCTTGGGCGATCTAGACAAGCGGCGTGTGTGTCATCAGCGACACAAGGAACTGCAATGGCGGCGGCCGGCGGAGGCTGGCTAACCTAGCGCTGGGGGGAAAGAGGATGAGTGCTGCTCGGGGTGAGGTAGAGCGCTAGGTCAAGTGACTGGTGCTGGGCCACTTTGGGCTGCAGAGTTGGACGAGCTCATGGGCTGGCTCGAGCCGAGCTGGGCTCGGCCTGAGGCCGAAACAAGCCCAATAACACAGCTCGGCTCGGCCTTTTTGTTTCTC